ACTGTAAACCAAAAGACTGCCCTTCTCAGGGCAAGCTAGCCTCTCCTGTTTTTAAGTTGGTCATCTCAGGAATTTTGTCACAGTGACAGAAAGCTAACAAGCCCATAGCACTAGAGCCTGCTTACTCGGCCTTGTCCCCTCTCTTCCAATGGAAACCATAATAAAGGCTCTCACCCACTTTATCCCTCACTCCCTCTGCCTCCTAACTGACCCTGGTTCTTCCCTCCGTGGCTCCTGTGGCACGCCTTGCCCTCCTGTGATCTGTGAGTGTAGTGAGCTCTCTTGTGAGTGGCAGTCATCTCCTGTTCTTTGGCCTCACTACACCTGAATAATACTAATACAGTTTATATTTTCAAACACTATCCCAGTGTTAGGCACGTGGACAGTGACCAAATCTCCTAGCAATGATATGTGATGGTACAAGTGTGGCCAATTATGGAAGATCATCTGAGCTTTGGATGCTGCTAACATCCTATGAAGCATCCTATGACTGCCCCCCACTCGCCCCAGATTACCAGGATCAACATCAGTAGTGCTGAAGTTGAGAAACCCTCCTCAGGCAACGGTATTTTCAAGTTAATAGTTCCTCTCTCTAGATATTGCTCCAAATCTACACACAGTTAATGTTATTTCATTTTGCTTTCACTTTTTAGGGATGCTTTTTAAAAATTAAATTTATGTAAAATATTTATGATTTCAAAGAAAAAATTAGGTTTCCTTTTTTTCCTCTTAAGGTGAAACTAAAGAGGTCTTCCAAACAGGCGTGGTGGTGCATGCCTGTGATCCCAGTGACTCTGGAGGCAGGAGGATCACAAGTTCCAGGCCAGCCTCCGCAACTTAGCAAGACCCTATCCCAAAATGAAAAATAAAAAGGCCTGGGGATGTATCTCAGTGGTAAGCACCCTTGGGTTCAAGGGTGCCAGCACACCCGGCTCTCATTCTTCCCTTTTGATGTGTTCTGTGAATAGCCTACATACAACAATTTGTATTTTAGCCACTGTATCTTTTGGATAGATTCTTAGAAGTGGAATTGCTGGTTCAAAACTTAAATGAGGGCTGGGGTTGAGGCTCAGAAGTAGAGCACTCGCCTACCATGTGTGAAGCCCTGGATTTGATTCTCAGCACCACATATAAATAAATAAAATAAAGATATATAAAAAAAGAAAACTTAAATGAATATGTGATTTTACTTCATTTAAATATGATATGGCATATTACACAGAGGCACATGCCTATAATCCCAGCAACTCAGGAGGCTGAAGCAGGAGGATCCCAAGTTCAAAGCCAGCCTCAGCAATTTAGTGAGGCCCTGTCTCAAAAATTTAAAAAGACTGGGGATGTAGCTCAGTGGTAAAGTGCCCCTGGGTTCAATTCCCAGTACCAAAAAAAATTAAAAAAATATATATATATATCATCCTAGTTTTATTTCTAAATATAATGAGTACACAACAGGATTACAACATGCCATTTCTATTTTTTAAAAGGATGAAAGGTAAAGGTTTATTTTTTTGCTCATATATGCTAAAATATCTGAATAAATACACAAAAAAACAACCATCACACAGGGACTCTGAGAAGGGAAAGGAAGTGACTGGGACCCAGAAGTAGGAGGAGAATTTATACTGAAAATCCTTTGTGTTTTGTTATTTTCAAAAATTTAAACCATGTTAATATAGTGCCTATTCATTTCTTTGATTGATTGTGGTGCTGAGAAATGGAGTCCAGAACCTCACATATGCCAGGCAAATGCTCTATACTGAGCAGCATCTCCAGCCCCAACATACTGCCCCTTAGTTGGAGTTTGGGGGATGGAGCTCAGTGGTAGAACACGTGCTTAGCATTCCTGAGGGCCTGTGTTTGATCTCCAGTGCCACAAAAATAGAATAATCAGCAAGAACTAAATTTTGATTCCTCATGGAAAGAAGAGGAGATGACGTCCTATGTCCTGTGGGCCTTTTTGCATTTCAGTATGATGCCGAGCACAGCCAGCTCACAGCCAGAATGCCTGCCATTGTAAGGGTGAATCTGACGTGCTTACTGGGACGGATCAGACATTCACCCCTGAGCCCCGCTGGATCAGTCAGCTCTTGCCTGGGCCCAAGACCTGAATGATCTATCTGGGTTCAGGGGTGAATGCTTTTTATGTTTAATAAACATCCCAAGACCCTTTCAGGCAGTTTTGCTAGTTGGTTGAAGTTGATATAACAAATAAATAAGAATCTGGTCAGTGCAGAAACGGCCAGTCCAGAAGCCAGCTTACAGTCAAATACTATCCACATATTTGGATGTCCTTCACCTCATAGCAACAGGTGAGCTATGGATACACTTACCAAATGAATATAATAAAATTCAAAGTAAATACAATTCTGTGTAATCTGCCAAATATACAGGATGATGTTCCCTCTTAATTTTTTCTATTTTTTAGAACTGGAGAAATCAAACCCAGGGCCTCTTAGGCACAGTAGGCAAATGCTCTACTACTGAGCTAATAAATCTTTTAAGTTATTACATAAAGTTTTCTGAATTTTAAACCATAGAAACACCAAAAAAGCTGGGCATGGTAGTGCATGCCTATAATCCCAGTGACTTGGGAGGCTGAGGCAGAAGGATCACAAGTTTAAAGCCAGCCTCAGCAATTTAGGGAGGCCCTAAACAATAATGAGACCCTCTTCCAAAAGAAAAAAAAGGGCTAGGGGGGTGTGGTTCAGTGGTTAAGTACTCCTGGGTTCAGTCCCTGGTACAGAAAAAAGGAAGAAAGGAAGGGGAGGGAGAGAGGAAGTAAAGGAAGGAAGTGGGGGAAGGAGGGAGGAAGGAAAAGCAAAATTGCCTTGGGAGTGTTGTACAGGGTTGGAGGATCTCACAACATGCTTTAAGCAGTTCTGCTTGTAATTCCACAGAATTGTCCTCTTTTTTTTTTTTTTTTTTTTTGGTACTAGGGATTAAACCCAAGGATCCTCTGCCACTGAGCTACAGCTCCAGCCCTATTAAAATTTTATTTTTAGATAAAACTCAGTTACCCCAGCTGGTCTCAAACTTAGATCTTCCTGCCTCAGCCTCCCAGGTTTCTAGGATTACAGGTGTATGCCACTGTGCCTGGCACAAAATTCTCTCCCCACTAACCAAATAACAAAAAGCCTTCGTAGATTTGGCTCTTTCGGGGACTGTTACACTTTCAGCATTACTGCTGCTTTTTGTCCTGGGTTCATAAGTAGGTTCTAATGTCACGACTACGTATGTGTCTTTTCCTTCGAGTTTTTAAAACTTGGTTGATTTTAATAGTTTTGGATATATACTACATGTAGTCATTTGTGCCACAAACCATGGGGTTAAATGCTTTTTTTAGTGGCTTTCATCAGCGCCAAGCATGAGCTCACTGTCTGGGGAAACTAAGCTGCTGTGGAGAAAATGGGTGGCTCTGGCCGCCAGCGCCTGTGTCAGAAGAAACGCAGGTCCTGTCTGATTCCGCTCTGCCTGTGGCCAATGGAAAGCTGTTTCCACCTGGACCTTGACAACATTTTTGGCTCTTAAGACAATGTTCCGAGCAAGCCTTAGCCAAAGTTTTCCAGTTTCTAAAACCCACTTCTTTTTCTGACAAGTGAATTATCTTTCCAAGCCCCACAGCCCCCCTGGGATGGTGAGAAAGCCACAGCTGTCAGGACAGTCCCATTGGGCACAAAGCAGTGGAACAGGGAAGTGGCTTCCAAGTGGAAAGTTAATGTGTATGTGCCGCCTTCAAGGGCTTAGGCAGATCTCCCAGAGAAACCAAGCCAGTTTTCCAGAAGGAATGGCCGGATAAAGAGCCAAGGAGGCAGATATTTTGGAGAAAGCATCTTCATTTTCCACAAGAAGGGTTTTTATAGAGCTCATATTAAGGGAGCATAGTTGGCCTTCACATTCCTGTGCACACGAATCTCCCTAAACCAAGATATGTCCATATGAGGCTAAGACTGCCTTCCTCTAAGGCTATCAGGATGGATCCAAAACCAATCTTAAGGATTACCTGTGCTCCCAAAGGAGAGGGGGACATTCTGCCAGGAAACACCTCAGGGCAGCAGGCAGTCATTCAGAGGCTGAGGGTGTAGCTCAGTGCCGAGCGCCTGCCTAGCCCATGGGAAGCCCTGGGTTTGATTCCCACCACAAAACTAATGGAAGAGGACAGAAGTCGGAGCAGTGGTTGGTGCCTGATGTTGGGGAGGGAGCCGTAGAGGGTGGCACAACAGAACTCTCTAGATGAGGCAAACATGCTGTTTTAATTGCAGTGTTGATTCCTTGGGTGTAAATATTTGTTTACATTTATTAAGGTCTATATTTTTGTATGTAATCATACCTCAATTTGAAATGTGTTTTAAAAACAAAATTCCTTGCTGGGGAGTCTGGGGTTGTGGCCCAGTGGTAGAGTGCTTGCCTTGCGCGTGTGAGGCACTGGGTTCAATTCTCTGCACCACATAAATAAGTGAATAAAATAAAGGTCTGTCAACAACTAAAAAAATTTTTTTGAAATTTTAAAAATTTTTTTTTAATCTTTTTTTTTTTTTCCTTAGTTCTTGGCGGACACAACATCTTCCTTTGTGTGTGGTGCTGAGGATCGAACCCGGGCCGCACGCATGCCAGGCGAGCATGCTACCGCTTGAGCCACATCCCCAGCCCTTTAAAACAATTTCTTATCTGCTACTTGGTACAATTGAATGACTTGGGTCTAGATATTGAAGGAATTGTGTTCTGTTGATTCTGCCATCAACCTCCTATGTGGATGTGGTGACTTCTGACCTCTCATCTGCTCCACAAAATGAAGTCCCAGGAATTAGGATGCTATAGTACAATAAGATTGCTCTTTTTTATTTTTTTTAAAGGAAGGGTCTTACTAAATTGCCCAGGCTGGTCTTGCTTGAAATTGTGATCCTCCTGCCTCAGCCTCCTGAGTGCCTGGGATTAAACACATGTGACACTACACCTGGCTATCATAAAAATGTTTTTCACTTTTTTTTATTTGTTCTTTTTAGATATTCATAAAGAAAATTTAATTGGATATATAACGCAATGAGAAACTTTCAAGAACTCTACCTATTTATGCTGTGACATACAGATGGCCGCAGTAGTCATATTGGTGATATGGATATGGGAGAAATGGAAAAAACTTTTGTCTTAATCTGGTAACCCAGGCTCTGGATTCAGATATGGACATTTTGCCACTTGTCCAGATGGGCCAGCAGAGATAGGAGTCATCTTCTAGAACTAAGCCTGTTCACTGCTTTTCAAAGCCCAAGTGTAGCAGAGTGTCTCTGTGGGAAACAAGGCAGAAGCAGAAAATCACTCCAAGAGGGAACTCAGACTGCCAAATAATTGGTCTCAAGCACGAGTTCACTGGACTTTGGCTCATTCCCCAAGGGGAAGAGCTCACAATGGAAACAGTGATGGTCACTTACTCAGGCAGCCAAGAGAATGAAAAGCACATTGAAACCCAGCAGTGTCCCTGCGGGAGAGGTACAGTGGGCCCCTTGGTGGTGAAACCGACCTGACAACGCAGTGGATCACTGAGCCCATTCCCGGCGTCTGTCTTCAGTTCCACAACAGACCTTTATGTGCACCCTCTCAGGAGATCTCTGAGAAGTGATACGGCCAGCAGCCTAAGCTTCACCCCACAGCAGATTCGGGCTCAATCTAGTTTGCCCCTTTGCTTTGAATTCCATTTTGTTGATTAAGAAGAGCCCGCTTAGATGTAAAGTCCCTGCCAAAATACAAAAGTCCCTCCCACGCAGGCTTCCTCATCTTCCCTTTCTTATTTTCGCCTCTTGTGGACTGTTTCCACCTCCAGTCGCTCTTTTCATGCTGTATTTGTTCCTCAGCTTATCCAGTGCCACTGTGAATGTCCTTCTGTCCTAGCATGTCATTAACTGTTGGGCCGAGAGACCAGCTGGACGGGGGTGAAGGAATGGCAGCAGCACAATCTAAACCGCCCTGACCGTGCTCGCCCACCTGTGCCAAGCAGGCAGATGGCGCAGCCGAGCTCTGCGCCTTATGTGAGTTGCTAAGGTGTGAGTGCTTGTGTGCCCGCTAACTGTATGTGCTGAAATCCTAACTCCCCATGTGGTGGTATTAGGAGGTGGTTAGGTCTTAAGGGAAGAGCCCTCATGAATGGGATTAGCTCCTTTACAAGAGACCCCAGGGTAATTCCCTGTCTCTTCTGCCTTGTGAGGATATAATAAGATGGCCATCTAAGAATCAGGGAAATCTGCTACCTTAATCTTAGACCTCCCAGCCTTCAGCACTGAGAAGTGAATCTAGTTTATGATGTTTTGTTGGAGTAGCCCAGACATGGGTTAGTATTTTGTTGGCATATACTTTGGCAGAATTCTGTCCTAAAATAATACTGTGGTAAAGGGCCATAAACCCAGATATCTTTAGGAGTAGGAAATAAAGAAAGCAAGTGGAGCCAGGCGTGGTGGCTTTGGAGACTGAGATAGGAGGAGACTGAAACAGGAGGATTACAAGTTCAAGGCCAGCCTTAGCACCTTAGCAAGGCCCTAAGCAAATTACAAAGACCCTGTTTCAAAATAAAAACTTAGTGATAAATGTGGCTTAGTGATAAATTGCCTTTGGGTTAAACCCCCAGTACCAAAAAAGAAAAAGAGAAAGGGAAAAGGAAAGCACGTGCGGTTAACTGGGAAGTATATTTCTTGTTCACACAGGAGGGTTTTGTTTTGTTTTTATTTGTTCCATCTAATTGTTGCCAGATTCTAAGAATTTTTTTCAGGAGAAGCAAGAAAATGGATTTTTTTTGGAGGGAGCAGGGGGTACTGATGACTGAATCCAGGGTCACTCTACCACTAAACTACATCCCCAACCCCCCTTTTTTCCCATTTTTAAATTTTGAGATAGGGTCTCACTAAGTTGACTCAGGCTGGCCTCAAACTTGCAGTCCTCCTGCCTTAGCCTCCTGAGTAGCTGGGATTAAAGGCATGTTTCATTAAACCCAACAAGAAAATAGGATTTTTCTGTACACTTCTTTGAATTACATGCAAACACAGGCCTTCATTTCAACCATCTGATCTAGTAGAACAAAGGTGGGTTTTGGCATTAGGCTTGAGTTTGAATTGTGACTGTAGGATGTACTGGTTGTGTGCTCTTGGGTAGGTAACTGCATTCTTAGAATGTCAGTGCCCTCGTCTTTGAAATGGGAGTTCCATAACACACTTGGCAGTGGGGTCACAGGGATGTGCCAAAATAATACACAGCACAGGGAAGAGGAGGGTGTCTGCCATGCTGACAGTGACTAGCATGTGGAACTCCAGCCGAGACCTGCCCCTTCTGCTCAGAAGTGACTCCAACTTGTAGTCCTGACTTCTGAGAGCTTTTGCTAAAAATGTAAGAATCTGTTCTCAGGAGAAGAAAACTGGACAGATTTGTGGAGCCTCTTGCTGCACGCCAGGCACGTGCACCTTGGCTTCCATATGGTGCTGCCTCCCACATCTGGAGCAGCAGCCTCTCCAGGGGCTGAGGAGGGGGAACAGGCCTGATCACAGAGGCATGTAGAGACCTCCTACGGAAAGCGTGGCTTTGCCTCAGTGTCAGCAACTAAGATTGGGGTTTTTTTCCTAAGAAATAAAGATGAAAAGGAGTCAGTTGTACTTTCTTTTTTTTTTTTTTGTGGGTACCAGGGGTTGAACTTGGGGGCATTGGCCACTGAGCCATATTCCTAGCCCCATTTTGTATTTTATTGAGAGACAGGGTCTCACTGAATTGCCTAGTGCCTCGCCATTGCTGAGGCTGCCTTTGAACTCACGGTTCTCCCGTCTGGGCCTCCTGAGCTGCTGGGATTACAGGCCTGCGCCACCATGCCTGGCAGTTGTGCTTTTAAAAGCTTTCTATAATTCAGTCTAATGAAGAGTGAGTTCATTCTCCTTGAAAGAGATCCTTGGGCTGCCTTTGACTCTGGTCCACAAGCCCATTCCACGACAGTGTGTTTCAGACACTGCTGCAAAATTAAGATGGGTTAGCGCTTGCTGAGTAGGCTCTCAGGTCCAAGGAGGGCTGGTCCTATCCCTCCTGAGCCTTATAAGTGTGCCAGTCCTTGTATCCTGCCCCCAAGGTACTGGATAAGGGTAGACATCATGTGCTCCTTGATAGGAGCGATGGCAAGTGACTTCACAGTGGAATAGCACAGCCTTGGGGAAGGGCACAACATTCTCAGGAGCAGAGTAGGAAGTGCAGAGGACTAGGAGTCAGCAAATAAAAAGAAATGATGGTAGATTTGGGGACAGTTTTGCAGGAAAGGTATTTGAGGCCGAGAAACATCCTATGTGAAGCTGAAGATGAGAGCAGAGATGCCAGGCTGACGGGGCCCGGAGAGGCTGGGATCAGCTGACAACGTGCTTGGGTGGAAGGGGGAGGATTTTTATGTCTTGTTAGACTGGTTTTGTCCAAGCGACACAGTACTTCAGGAATTTGGGGGAAAGGATCGGAATGGAAGTTACATTTGGGAAGTTTGACCTCCCCTGCAGCAGAAAGGACAGATTGCAGGAACAGGAGTAGTGGCAGAGGCCACAGTTGAGGGGTCACTGTAGCATTTTGAAGAGAAATGGTGAGACCCTGACAACAGTGGTTTGAGGAGCCCAAGGGATGGGGACTGACCAGGATTCACAGAGGCTGTGAGGCTGAGTGTGACCAGTGGATGAAGATGAGGGAGCATTGTGTTCCTCAGGTTTTTACTGTTGTGCAAAATACCTGAGAAAAATAATGTACAGGAGGAAATCTTAATTTTTGTCCTGTGGTTTCAGAGGTCTCAGTCCATGGCTGCCAGGTCATAGCTGTGGGCTAGAGGTGAGGAAGAGCATTATGGCTGGAGGGTGTGCTGGAGAGCTGCTCAGCTTATGGCAGCCAGCAGGAAGAGGGACCAGCTACACCCTTCTCAGGCATGTCCCTAGTGACCCAAGTCCCCCAGCTAGGCCCCACCTCCTCCAGTTTCCACCACCTCCCAGTATTGCCACCCAGGGATGAATGCACTGATGAGGTAGAGCCTCACGATCCAGTCACCTTCCCAAAGGCCCAACCTCAAACATTACTGCACTGGGAACCAAACTTTCAACATGTGAGACTTTAGGGGACATTCCAGATCCAAGTTGCAGTAAGGGTAAAGGATGACTTCAGGTTACTGCCTGAGAGAATGGAACACGGTGCCATGTGTCAGGAAGGGGTGCTGGTCTGGAAGGAGGACAGGAGATGCAAGCAGGGGCTGAGCTCACTCTCAGAGTCTTCTATGATACCACAAGATGAGGGCCTCCCATGGACATCTGGAGGGGCTGTTTGGAGCTCAGGACAAAGTGGTAACTGGAGTCAAGAGCATGGTCTTGGACAATCTGTTTACAGGAAGTCATTGAAGACAGGGGTCGGGATGCAGTCGTCCAGAGAGAATGTACAGAATGAGAAGAGAGGGGCCCCTCTCTCCTGAGGATGGAGCCCTGGGGAAATGAAAGTTAGGGAGCAGAGAAACACAGGACTGGGTGTGACTGAGAGGCTGGAGGAAAATAGGAATAGCCAATTGGGAGCTTCAAGGAGGGAGGCATCTAAAGTGCAAAATATTATGCCAGGTGCAGTGGCACACACCTGTAGTCCAGTGACTTGGAAGGCTTGAGGCAGGAGGACTGAAGTTTGAGGCCACCTTTAGCAACTCAAGGAGACCCTGTTTCAAAATAAAGAAGGGCTAAAGGTGTAGCTCAGTGGTAGAGCACCCCTGGGTTAAACTTTTAAAAGAATTAAACATTAAAAGAAAGGCAAGGAAGATAACAGCTTTAAAAAGTGTCCAATGGAGAGATTATTTTGGAAACCCCCACAAATACAGGGCCAGGGAAGTGGCAGATCTGGAAGCCAGCCTCTCTTGCACTGAGAAGTAAAGGGGAAGTAAGAAATAGGGGCTGGGGCTGAGTGATAGAGTGCTCGCCTTGCATGTGGAGGGTACTGGCTTCCATCCTCAGCACCACATAAAAATAAAAAAAAATACAGGTGTTGTGTCCATCTACAACTAAAAAAAAAAAAAAAAAAAAAAAAAAAAAAAAGAAAGCCAGCTGCATTCACTCCTCTGAGAAGGGGCCTATCTCTGTTCTCACTGTTGGACCTTAAACCAAAAAAAGTTACAAAATATTGCAAACATCAATGTAAAAAATAAATACTCACCACTCAACTAAACTATTTTTCTCTATTTGCTTCAGGTTTTTATTTTCAGATCTGAAACATGATAGATGTTTTTAAAACCCCACATTCACCCATCACTAGCCCTGTTCCCCTCCCTCCATGTGGTAACCACCATCCTGAACTTGGTGTTTCATTCCTTTGCACAGTTTATACTTGTATTACGTAAGTTTATATCATTAAGCAATATATATAGTTCTTTTGCACATTAAAAACTTCTGAGTCTTGTTTTTTTCATTAATCAGCATTGGAGATTTGTAGATTTATGTTCATATCTACAGCTCTTGTTCATTCATTTTAACTGCTGTATAGTATTCCTTTGTATGAGTATGCCACTTATTATCTGTTTTCCTGTTGATGAACATTTATTTCTATTTTTTTTTTGCCATAAAAATGAGGTTACAGTGTTCAAGTACATTTCTTGTTTTTGTGAGGCTATTTCTAGAATATATACATAGAAATGGAATTTGATAGGCCATGGATTATATACACATTGAACTTTACCAGATATTTGCAACTTGCTTTTGAATGTGATGGTGTCATACACTTAAATAGGGTGTGTGAGAATTCTAGATACTTCACATCCCCAACCTTTTATATATTGAAAAAGATAAAAAATAAAAGGATGCATGTATATTTGATATGGTTTGATATGGAAAGATCACCAGGCTACAATGTTAAATGAAAAAAACAATGTAGCCAGGAGTGTGGCTCATGCCTGTAATTCCAGTTACTTGAGAGGCTGAGGCAGCCTCACCAATTTAGTGAGAACCTGTCTCAATATAAAATTTTAAAAGAACTAGTGATGTAGCTCAGTGGTGGAGTGCTTGCTTAGAATGTGCAAGGAAGGCCCTGGGTTCAAACCATGGCACTGGGGGTAGGGGAGCAATGTCGAGCTGGGCTCAGAGGTAAAGTGTTCACCTGGCAGATTCAGGGCCCTGGGTTTGATCCTCAGTACCACATAAATTAATAAATAAATAAAGGTATTGTGTCCAACTACAGCTAAAAAATAAATATATTTTTTAAAAGCAATATCTATATATTTATAATGTAAGAAAATAAGGACATATATTCATACTTAAGTATACTACTAAAAAAATAATAAAAAGAAATATGCCAGTAAAACTAGTTTCCCATAAGGGGCAGAAGTCAGAAAACAGTGGGGGAAATAAGACTTTGCAACATATTCCTATCTTTTCATGTAGCTCTGGTACCTGCACCATGTGAATACATTAACTATTCTTTAAAAAAGAGTCCCCTTTTGATACCAAACACTGCTTCCAGTTCCAGATTGGGCTGCTACGGCCTCCATAAGTCCTTCTCCCAGCCTAGCAAAA